GGAAGACAGGACAATTCGAGCACCGTTGCTGAAGGTGTTCACTGTGTGCCCGATATCACAGTGGGCGCAGGTGGGCAAATAGTGGCCGGTGATAGTAGACTTGCGCAGAATCTATCGCACTTTTTTTATCCTCATCCGCCCGGGTCTGATGTAATGAATAAGTTAAGACAACCGGAGGCGGGAGACTGACGCGACGTGAGCCTGCACCTAGGTGTGCTACCCCACCTCCCCATGTACGGCATTTGTTATGGGTGCACCTCTCCAATAACGCCTATCGTGCTCTGATCTAGCCCCGCCTAAGGACACGCTGCGCTATAAACTGACCAGGTGTAGAATATTTTGCCTCAAAAGAAAACAATACAAGACCGTTGAAAGCTGTGAGGGGGGTGTGTTTGCAATTAGCTATTTGTCTTGAGTGGACTTTTAACGTGTACATAGCAGCACCTAATACATTAACGGCATAACATGGATTCACACACGGTAATGAACTGTAAGTAACAAGCCAATCATTCGTGCATGCCAACATTGTGGTAGGTGATACATATGCAGGCAGACTGTAAGTCAACGCGAATTCCAAAAAGTTCAGGCAGCGGAGAAGGTAGAAACTTTCAGCACACCCAATGAATTACCCAGTTGACAAGGTCATCACTCACGTCATGCAGGAGGCTTAGGTGTATGCAACACCGCTAAAACCTATACTCAGCCTGGGACTTTGCTCAGAGAACCTGAACACGAAATCAAACTTTGCTTATACGAAACGCTTGGATTTCCACCACGTAGACAGGAGGTTTTAACTGTACAGATTGAGAGGAAGCTGTGTCGATCACCGGAATCATAGTTTTATTAGTCTGAACTTTCGAACTCCCCCAGGAGTCCATCGTCAGAGATAGGAAACAGCAAAAATGGGGGGCTAGTTATGGCGTGTGTACAAAACAAAAGTTTGAACGTGTAGAAAATCATTAATTGTCTGTGACGTGAAGTAGAATGTTGATATTTAAACGGCTGATAAGGACGATATATAGAGTATTTTGAGTAACAGGGCAATCGATAAACATTAGGTCTCAGTAAATATTTGTTGTCGGAAACCACTGAGAAGACACTGGAAACATTATCCTCTGGCAGGTGGGTTAATGAGGCACGCTCGACTCAAGTATGCAGTCCTTTAAGAGGACTATCATAATCAGTAAGATGAAAGAAATAATTCTACAAAAGCACAGCAATCACTTACTTCGTGAAAGGATAAAGATTACCACCAGACGAAAACGCTCCAATTCTGTCATTGTGTCGGGACTGAGCACCTCCACAAGAGACCGCATGGGATCATGCAAGGCTTCCCCCTCGGCAGTCTGACCCATAACCAAGTTCTGATGGGGACGTAGGAGAGAAAGGCAGACCGTTAGTGCGGGATAAGGGAGGTCACAGTTAAGGTTTTGATAAAACACGAGAAGAGAATTCCCCTTTCCACCCGTAATGCAGATGACCTTGTGCAAAGTTCCAGGAAAAGCAAAGATCACTGAGTCGTAATCCTAGCCCAAACTTTAAACTTAACTCCAACCCTGTCCTTGACCCTACTTAACTCTAACCCTATTCTGAACACCGATTTCTATTTCCCCGGAAGTAAGCGCGAAACCCCGAAAAACCAGTGGTTGCTAGTCCTGTGTCTTGGCAGGACCTTAAGTTAAATACACCAAATTAGGAAACGGGATGAAAGGGTCAACGAAGAGGGAACAAAAACGGTCATCGCCGACTCCATTGGGAGACTCGGGTCAAGGAGGAGGCTGACGTTTCCTCATCTTTCCTGGACAGCTTTCTCTGTGACTCCGAAAAAGGACCGCCGGGAATTTAGGAGACCAACTTAAAACTACTTTTACCTGCCTAGCGTCCCTCTGGAACCATAACATCTCCTTAAACCACAACTCATTCAAATAATGGAAATTAGATCGACTTACACAGTCTAAACTGCTCTCATTTTGTTGGCCACAAACCATCATCAGAATTTCATTCTGACTCCTGGGATGTCAAGGCCTCACATCCATTGACGCTCTTCCACGAGCTTTCATGCGCAATAGCGATCCTGAGCTAACTATTTAGACGTTTCATTAGCTCATTCTGAACTGCGATTATAGTATTACCCTACTTTACCCCCTGATTTTATTTTCCTAATTCGTTTTTCTTCCGCTACAGTCTTTTTGAAAATGAGGGTTCATTGAACTCTGTCTCCGCTTTCATTGCAAGTTTTTTTCACTGTCTTTTTCCCACTTCACAATTATTTTCTAAATATTGCTAACTGTTGTTCTAAACGGACAAATCTCTGGTGATTATGAAACGTTCCGTCTACATTATTACTCCTTTTTGCACTTTATTTGTGCAAACTGTCATAATTTTACTTCAGTACTAAGTTTGGTTAGCCAGTTTCCTCTATAAGCTAAAAAATATAAATTTAAAAGTTCGAACTCAGCTGCTCCCAGGCTTACTAAAATCGCATTCCCGAAACACTGAGCTACGGACACATTCTGTCGGGCTTGATCTAGGACGGACATCAATAATACAATGAACCAATCCAATTTCATCCCCCGAGAATGACTACAGTCTTCCATAACGACGGCATATGCCTAGCCTACGGCAGCATAAGCATTCAGCCCTAGTGAATTAAAGTGCTGTAGCGATAACACTGCACAATACACAGGTTAACGAAGACACCCCAATCAAGCACCAAACCTGTTCCTACCTG